AGATGTCATAACCACACTACGCAAGCGAATGCGTGATCGATGAAATTTATTATTTAGTCATAAAGGCGCTACGCAAGCGAATCCTCAGTCATGACAGACGATTGTTAGCACGTTATTTACTTTTGAAAAATTGTTGCAATTGTATTGGAGGAAACATTAACCCTCTTTTTTTCAGAAAATTTATTAAATGTCACTACCACGCTACGCAAGCGAATCCGTGATTATGACAAAAGATTTATAAATTAATTAAAACTATTGAATATGACATGAAATTGATGAATTAACTTATTAAAAGTTAAGCGTCACGCTACACAAGTGAGTCCGTGAAGTTAAAACGCACCTACTATTTGCCTAACGTTTAAATTAATTAAAGGGAAACTAGTTAATTAAAATAGTAGAAAATTTTGATATTATTTTTATATTTTCGAGCTATATAGTTGGGAAAAATTATGCAAATAAATGTTGGACCAACTTTATCTATTTTAAAAGAAATGAGCCAACTTCTTGTTAAAAAAAAAAAGGGCCAGCTTGTATGGAGCTTTTGGGCTGCTGGAATTTATTATTAAAATGGGCCAAGAAATGAATTTCAATTGGCCCAATGTTATATAGAAGAAAAGGGGTAATTTTGTTGTTTAAAGGTAAATGAGCCAACTTTTATCTTTGATTCAATAAGGCCCAAAGTTGATACAATATTAGCTCTTTACTTAGTTTGAGTTCATGGCCATTAACTACATAATCACAATTGTATAAACGCCCACTTTACAAAAATAGCCATTTTTGCAAATCCGGCAAAATGGCCAGATTCACAAAGATATTATCACAGCATTCCTAGAAGCATATGTTGGCAGTGAAATTTCAGCAACTAAAACGAACTCATGCTATGTGTTATACACCTAAAGTCATTCATGACATACTTAGCATTGTTACTCGGATATAATAGCTTGAAAACATGCTTAAAAAATCCATAAACGACTTACATATCACATTCAAAAACTTACAACTCAATATTCAAGTATTATGAAGGACTATATTCACATTATCACATGCTTGATACATAACAATAACATACAAGCTCTTTTGTTGTCAAACTATTCATCACATCAAACACATTTAAATGGTGCAGCATGTTCAAGTTGTTCCCATTGCTGAAAATACGTACATTACGAGTCTTAAAGGATTACCTGGTAGCAAAAGAATAAGTAGTAGTTCAACAACTAAAGCAGCATAAAACCAGCAATAAAACCAGCAACAAATCCGTGTTAAAACAACCCGAAAACTTAGAGAGGGAACTCAGAAACGAACTCTAAAGATGACTTATACTTTTTAAAAAGTTTGCACTCTAAGATTCACTCCCAAAGCTCACCATTTCAGCTTACTTTTCATGTGTTCAACTGCTAATTTTTTTTTGTTTTTGTGACAAAGCAATTATAAAAAATTCCCCCTGGAAGTGTGATGGAGTCCCCCCAAAGTGAGGAAAGGGCAGCCCTTAAATAGGCAAATTTGGACAAATTTTAGTTCACCAAATGTCTGTCCGACAAAAACTGACATTGTGTGCTAAACACTGTTCAAAATCTATCCAAAGGTCAAAGGAAACCTACTATGTCAGAAACAAAGAGAAAAAAAATATCATTTCAGCCACCCTAACTAGTAAAAGTAGGCTACTAGCACCCTATTTTTTGATAAAATAACATAAACTTCAGATTTTAACAACATCAATACCATCCTGTTGATTCAAACTAAACCAAGTATTAAAACATGTAATTAAACTTCACACATGTGTTATGAACCAATCGTAAGCAAACAAAAATTAACTATTAAAGCCAAACAAAACGCACGCTATCGCTGGAGCGATTTAATAAAACCAACTAGACAAACATAATCAAAAAATGGATTAAATGAAGAAACAAGATAGATACTAACTTTAACTAAAAAAAATTAAAAAATTAATAACAGGGCAGGATAACGATTTTACCATATACTCTCAAGCATTTCCTCACTACCTCACTTTAATCAACACAAAGCTATTTTACTACTTCAAAAAGTGCAAAAACAGAAAATTTAACATTCCAAAACTTCAAAAACTAATGCTAAAATAATTAATAATAAAAAAATAAAACAAAATCTGAAAAATAAAAATAAAAATAAAAAATCAGACATGAAAAAGAATAGGATTTTACCATTTTACAATTCAAGTGGCCGAAAAAATGGTGGTATGCCAAAAGAGGGTGTTCGAGGAGGTCGCCGGATTTTCAGGGTGAAATTGGCATCAATAGCTAGGTCTTGAGGAGCTCTATCCATTGATGCAGGTATTGTGGGGTGGTAGTGGTTGGAGCTTCAATAATTTGGGCAAAAAAGTGACGGGAAAGTTTCCTAGATCTAAGATTCAAGGAGTTTGAGGGATTTTTGAAAGATTTGGTTTGGAGATATGGAAAGAGGAAGTTGTGGAGATTACATAGTGTGAATTTGGAGGTGTTTGGAGGTGGTCTGCCGGCGGCGGCGATTTCCGGCCGGCGGCGGTGGGGCGGCGACAACGGCGGTGGGGGAGAGAGAAGAGAGAGTGATGAGAGGGAAAGAAGAGAGGAAATAATGGGAAAATGGGGCAAATTTTTGGGGATTTTAGGCTTTAAATACCTAGGATGAAGATCAAACTAGGACCGTTGGATTAAATCAAGATGGGTGGATGAGATTGAATCTTGTCACTTAACCAAAACGACGTAGTTTCAAGACAAAACTACGTCGTTTTAAGCTCTTCTTGGCAGCCCCCTTTTGGACCGGGTTTGGGCTCTTTGGGCTAAAATGTTGGGCCAATTTGGCACAATTTTAATTAAATTACACTAGCCCAAACCCTACCCCATTTATCAAACCATTACTCAACTCTTAAAACCTATACATACACAAATAAGAACAAACACACACACACACACATATATATATTATATATATGTATATATGTAAGGCAAATACTAGGCATTTACAGCTTCCTCTCTTTGCTCGAGAACATGAAGAGTTTTCGTGCAAAGACAAATAAATGCCATGGATAATTTTTTGCTCACATTCACTCTAGTGGAAGCGTTTTGAAAAAAGTGGTGACCGAACCTTGCTTCTGAGGTTGCCTACATATCCTTGGCTATAAAGGAATCAGGTCAGTGTAGTTCTGGGAAAATTTGGTAGGTGGGACTACCAGACACTTGAGTTAAGACTGCTGTTGTTGTTGCTGTTGCTGTTACTCTTACCGTTACTGCTTCTTACATCAAAAAAAAGAGAAGAGCACTACATTTGTCTGCAAATTAAGAGTACAAAAATTCCTATCCACGTGTCTTCTAGAGTCAAATCTTGATTCTTGACCTTAGATTGGATCTTAACTCATTTGAAGAAAAGATTATGACTCAATCTCGATGGCTTGCTATCTAGATCAGAATTTGAGAAGATGAATCTTGAGAAGCTGGGCTGCTGACACATTATCAAAGCTAAACTCCGGCTATCTTGTGATCGAATTTCTTTCTTCTGATGAGAAACTGAAACTGCAAGCTTTAATCGTCACTTGTGCTATACGGCAGAGCCTGCAAAGCCATCAAAGACAAACAAAAACGAACAAAATTTTTCTGCCCCAGTCTGGCACTAGGAAAATTCTGTGAGTTATTAGAGAAATCTGTAAATTATCAAATTTATTGAAAAGGCAGATAGAAACAGTAGTATAAACTAGCTGAAAGAGATAAAATTTGGTAACGAAGGATAGTTTAACTAGGGATCGGTACCTTGTACAACTGAAAGGAAATGTAATCATAGGCTAGTACCCTCTCTTACTGGAAGAAAATAGAATCGGGTGTTAGCACCATGTATTATCGATAAAGTGTTGAATCCCTCTAGGAGAAACGGTTTGATCTGAGTTAAACTGTATTTAAGCAACCTGAGCGAAGATTACTTCTACCCGGAACTACGAACTAGATCCCCCTAGGCGAAACGGTTCTACCTGGGTTAAGCTACGTAAAAATCCCTGAGCGAAGAGTACTTCTACCCGGAAACTATGAGCTAGATGCCCCTAGGCGAAACGGTTCTACCTGGGTTAAGCTACGTAAAACACCCTGAGCGAAGAGTACTTCTACCTGGAATTTATGAGCTGAATCCCCCTAGGAGAAACGATTCTACCTGGGTTAAGCTACGTAAAACACCCTGAGCGAAGAGTACTTCTACCCGGAAATTATGAGCT